ATCTGCTTTTGTGACCTGCTTTTTCTTATTTCCCCTTTACTGTTCCTCTGAATTCATGGCAAAACATGATTGGTAGTGACCAAATAATACTCCATTACTAAATAGGACCACTATAACTGTTCTTCCACAGGCAAGTAACTTGGTTTAAATATGAAAAAGAAAAAAGGAAATTCTGGTATACAGTTTTATGCCTTTGCTTAGACATTGGCTGAACTTGTGCCAAGTCTTTTCTTGGAGTTGGTCAACTAGTATACATTAAAGAATTGTATTTCTTGAACCATTTTCCTTCTGATATCAGTAGGAATTCTATGAAGCAGTGTTCTCCTGTTAAACGAATTTGAGTGATCTGTACTCCCACTCATTTATTAGATATCAACACAGAATCTAGATGTCTCATAAAGGCTCTCCCACACACCAACACACCTTTTAAATTATTTATTACATATAGAGAGAGAGACTGTGAAGAGACACCATGACCAACGTAACTCTCACAAACAAAACATTTAATTGGGAGCTTGCTTACAGTTTCAGAGGTTTACTCAATTATCACCATGGCAGGAAGCACAGCTGCAAGCAGTCAGGCACTGGAACAGTCACTGAGAGCCATTTCCTGATCCACAGGCCGAGAGAAAGACCATGGGCTTGGCATGGGCTTTTGAAACCTCAAAGTCCATCCCCAGTGACTTACTTCCTCCAATAAGGCCACACCTCTTAATCTTTCTAATTCCTTCAAATAGTGCCACTCTCAGGAGAATGAGCATTCAAATATATGAGCCTGTGGGAGCAATTCTTATCTAAACCATCACATAGATACATATTTATTGTATGTGGTTATAGTTAGGGTTTCTATTGCTGTGAAGACACACCATGACCATAACAACTCTTACTAAGGAAAACATTTAACTGGGTCTGTCTTACAGTTTCAGAGGTTTAGTTCATTATCATCACTGTTGGGACATGGCAGCATGCAGGCAAACATGGTGCTGGAGAAGGAGATGAGAGTGGAGAAGGAGCTACATCTTGGTCCTGCAGGCAACCGGAAGTTAGCTGAACTAGGTGTAATGTGAGCATAGGAGACCTCAAAGCCTGCTCCCACAGTGATGTACTTCCACCAACAAGGCCACACCTCCTAATAGTGCCACTCCCTATGAGCTTAAGGGGGCCAATTACATTCAAACTACCACAGTGGCTGTGGGTATGTGCATGTCATGATGCAGATGTGGAGGTCAGGGAACAATTGTCACTTATCTACTTACACTCTGTGGGTCCCAGACACTGAACTCAGGTCATTAGGTTTGACAGCAAATACCTTCACCTGCTGAGCCATCTTGCTGGCGACCCCCCCCTTTTTTTTTAAACCCAGTGTTTGACAAGTTTGCTTGTGCAATGCTGTCGATTCATTTTTAGCTCTGAGGATTATTTCATATAGCTAAGACAGTAGGAGTCAACACAGCCGTATGAAGCTGCCTGCCCTCAATTATCTTCAAAATGTGAGGTTCAAATTTATTCCATCATTTTAGGCAAGATTATGTTTATGAAATAAGGTAGAAATGTTTCCTTTCCTCAGACTCCTGGGCTGATTTTGTCCTGTTGGTTTCTTTGTGACAGATGCAGATGTCACACTGTACCTGTTCCATGCTTTGTAAATGTAAGTCCCAGCCTTCAGCCTAAACCAACACAGGCCCTCCCTGAGCTCTGCCTGGCATGGTCTGCTCTGGCATGGTTTCTCAGAGATCCAGACTGGTCTTTTCTAGAGAGCCATTTTGTGAGAAGGCCCGGTCCAGAGAGAATCTGGGTGGCAGAATGCTAATCATAGAATGGGGAGGACATTTTTGGGTGTCAACAGCTACTTGATCATTCACCACGTGAATAGACAAATTCAAGAGCAAGGTTTGTTCTAGCCTGGGATAGAAGCAGGGGATACTGGAGCAGTGAGATGCATGAGGCATACACAACACCCAGGATAGTCCACAGGTTGGGCACAACACCCAGAATAGTCCACAGGTTTGGGGATTCTCCTTGGATATGTCCCCTAGGTCACAAAACTTGGAGGGCCCTCATGAGGCCATAGATTAATGTGACTGACTGGGCAGACATGTAACAACCCCACGAACAATGTAGTGCTGGAGGAGAAGTATGACACTGAACTCAGGACCCTGAGGAACAAGTCAGCTGTGGAGCAGTCCCTTTCCAGCTTTCAGTGACTTGTGTGATTCCTAAGGTTGGATTTTATTTATTTATTTATTATGTATACAACATTCTGCTTCCATGTATATCTGCACATTAGAAGAGGGTACCAGATCTCATAATGGAGGGTTGTGAGCCACCATATGGTTGCTGGGAATTGAACTCAGGGCCTCTGGAAGAGCAGTCAGTGCTCTTAACCTCTGAGCCATCTCTCCAGCCCCCTAAGGTTGGATTCTAAGGCCATGACTTGAATCACAGAGGATGCTTGGCAGTCTTAGGGTCCAGTAGAGAAGGCTGACCAAGGTAGCATCTTTTGAAAATGCCAAGGCTGATAACCAGAAGTCTTGGAATGAGACACAGTTTTTCTCTTGTCTCTGGGGATTGTGACAGTCCTTTCTTGGTTTTGGATATCATCTGAAGCCTCTTCTGTCAATTGCCTCTCTTTGGCGGCTGCTCCTTCAGTGATACTAAGCTAGCCTTGCTACCCCTGCGCCCTCTAGCGACTATCGCTGGTACTACTTCCTGCTTCAGGGATGGGTTTTGTTCTGCTATGCTAGTAACTACTTTTCACCTATTCCTCAAATGTGATTCATGCCTCCATGCCTCCCCCTCATACCTTGAAATCAATACAGTGAGTTAGAAAAGCTCAAAGAGACCACCCCTTCCAAACACTCATTTTCACAAACATGGAAATTAAAACAGAGAGAATTTGAATGGTTAGCTCAAGGTTAAAGTGGATCTTTTAAAGGAGGCTTGTCTCCAACCACTTAGAGAGTTCCAGGAACAGCAAGAGTTAAAACCTGGGCTTTGCCAATGGTCATACACTCAGGAGGCAGAGACAGGCTGACCTCTTGACTTCAAGGCCAGCCTGGTCTACAGAGCAAGTTCCAGGACAGCTAGGGCTACACAGAGAAACCCTGTATTGAAAAAAAAAAAACAACAAACCCCTGGGCTTTCCAGTTCCATATGTTCCAGCTGCAGCTTCCTGCCCCCTCCCACCTCCCAGAAACTCTCCCACTAAGCCTCCCTGTAAGTCCTTTTACATGACAGCCGTCACATTAGACATCTGTGATGTGAAATGAGGAAAAGATGAAGGAATTGGGGTTTCACTCCAACTTTTGAATATGAACAGACTCATTTATTTTTTAGTGTGTTTGCTTCACACTTCTTGTTGCAGACCCCAACCATGCCATCCACAAAGGGCATCGTAAGAAAACCGTTCACTGTTGCACCTTCTTAGAGATGCATTTGAGTTTGTGGCACTAAAACCCTTGCATGTCTTTGATCCAGAAGTGAAGGCCAGACATTTCCCACCCGTAAGAAGTGTGTCTCCATGGGGGTGGGCCTGGGCCCTATCCCAGAGGGTATGATAGACTCTGATGATACCCTATGGAAGGCCTCACCATACAGGGAGAGCAGAGAGGATATATGATAGGTAGGGTTTTAGTTGGGAGGGGAGGCAGGGGAGGACGGGAGGGAGAGGGAACTGGGATTGTCATGTAAAACAATCTTGTTTCTAATTCAAATAAAAAAATCTGAAGAAGAAAAAAAAGAAGTGTGTCTCTGGGGGCTGAGGTGCTCAGATGGTAGAGTCCTTGCTTGGGTTCGGTCTCCAGCATTGTGTAAACCAGACACTATGGCTAAGCTTGGAATCCTAGCACCTGAGAGGCGGAAGAAGAAAAGTGAGTTTTGAAGCCAGTCTGGGTTATATTAATGAGTTCAAGGTCATCCTTGGCAACATGAGATACTGTCTTTTGGTTTTTTGAGATAGGGTTTCTCTGTGTAACAGCTCTGACTGTCCTGGAACTAGCTCTGTAGACCAGGCTGGCCTCAAACTCACAGAGATCCTCCTGCCTCTGCCTCCTGGGTGCTAGGATTAAAGGCGTGGGCCACCACCATTCAGCAAGATACTGTCTTAAAAAACAAAGTGAGTCTCCAAGGTGCCAACTCCTTGGACAACCTACTGTTGTGATCTGTGATAGAATACACATCCCTTGGACATTTGAATCCAGTGTCTATCCGTCTGTCTGTCTGACATGTTTTTGAAGATTGCTGATGGTTTTGAAGAATGTGCCTAGAGGCCCCACACTACTGTTTAATTGACCATTTCACTAATCTTTCCACCTGACACTCCTGAGGGGCAATCTCAAGAGCTAAAAATCTTAACCTTTCCAACTCTGTTGTCATTCCTTCATTCCAAAAAGTCTAGAGGCATCCGTGGGTCTTTAGCAGGTAAGGTAAATGAAAGAAGCTGCCCAATTAAGACTGGTGTCTCCTGGGAATCTGGAGTCTCATTCTCATTCAAAGACTTTTCGATACTAGGACAGGTCAGCTGATAATTGGTTACCTCTGATAAAGAGGGCAGAGAGGATGCCAGTAGGGCTGGAGCCCATCTTCAGCTCAGGTGGCCTTTGTAGAATCTCAGCTTCCTCACCTGTAAGAAGTTGGTCTCTATGGCACTGCCACCTCTGACAGCCTTATGATATGATCTGAGAGAATTCATGTCTCCATAGCCTTGGAGCTAATGCCCTGTCCGTCCGTCCGCCCGCCCGCCCGCCCGCCTGCCTGCCTGCCTGTCTGCCTGCCTGTCATGTTGCAAAGTGCCTGCCGAGCCCATTTGAGTTAACTGACTCTGTAGATCTGGTGTCCCTGAGATGTGTGTTGAATGTTTGATCTTGGAACGAAACCCTTCCACTTAACCATGACTCTGTCTCTCAATTTTGAAAGTGTGTGTGTGAACCAGTTTTTCCTTTTTCTAATAGCAGCTCTGAGCAGACAAGCTTAGAAAGGGTGTTCTCTTCATGTTGTTTCAGGGAAAATAGAGAAAGTCAAACCTCCTCCATCCCCCACAACTGAAGGTCCCAGCTTGCAGCCTGACTTAGCCCCTGAAGAGGCTGCCGGAACCCAGCGGCCCAAGAACCTGATGCAGACCCTCATGGAAGACTATGAGACACACAAATCTAAAAGGCGCGAGAGATTGGATGATAGTAGTGTAAGTTTTCCTCCTTTCCTTTCTCTTCTCTGAGGGTGACTGTCAGTGTGGTATGCTTGTGTCCTAGTTCAGACCTGGATACGTGTGCATTTGTCTAGCTGTCTTGCATCATGAATCTGAAACCTATTTTTTTTTTTTTCACAAGAGTGGTTTAGGCCGGGTAGTGGTGGTGGTGGTGGTGGTGCACGCCTTTAATCCCAGCACTTGAGAGGAAGAAGCAGGAGGATCTCTGTGAGTTCCAGAACGGTCAGAACTGTTACACAGAGAAACCCTATCTCTCAAAAAAAAAAAAAAAGAAAAAAAGAAAAGAAAAGTGGTTTAATGTGCCTTGAGGGTCTTGTGGTCTTGTTTCATATCACAAAAATATTTTTCATCAAGAACTGGTTGTTTGGTGGCTAAGTCAAGCTTGAGGTGGCGGGCAAGGCTGACATAGTGGGTGTGGAGGAAGACAGTGTACCTGTGCAATACAGTGAAGAAGTTTGCACACCCTGTGGAAGCACCCTCAGGCTTCAGAATCACTACTGTTACCAATCCTTATGTGTTGCCCACTGCACAAGACGCTAAGTATGTCTGGGGCCATTTTAGCAGAGCCATTTTAAATGACAGCTAAAAACCACACAGCTACCCAGTTACCTTCAACCCTCAGAACTGCACATGCTGGTCATGTGCATGATGAAGGAACTCATCATCTGCTCTGTGGTCTCCTTGTCCAATAAGAGACTTAAGAGATGTGCTGAATGGTCCCCCACGAGCCTGGGGGCAGCCCCAGGTTTCATGCAAACACTCTAGACTGTCTGGCTTTGGCCTTTTGTCTTTTATCAAAGGCCCCTACCACTACCCCCACACCATTACACTGAGGTCACAAATAGCTTGGCTTGATAAAACTATCTAGTTTCTGCCTGTTGTCCCCGTGTGTTTATGTATATCATCCCCTTCCACTCTTCAGAGCATCCCAGTTTGGAAAAGGTATGCAGTCACCCTCAACTTGAATGCTCTGAGGTTCACAATAGGAAGTCTCTGCCAACTCAGTGTCTTTCATGTCCTGGCTGGATAGTCCCAAGTTCAAGAGTTCCTGGGAGGAATGCCAATGCTGTAGGCTACTTTTCAATAAGAGTGATAAAGAAAAGATGAAAACACACATACATCCTCTGCCAAGTCATGAAAGAACGCTTGCTTAGCTACCCTTTGAGGCCAAGGGGCTGCTCTGGCTAGAGCCCTGCCTGAGTAGCTGCTGCAGACGGTTGTACCGGGTTTCACTGGGCAGTCGCCAGCAGCAGCCTATGTCTACTAAGTCATGTTAGCAGCCCTATTTGGGCAGTCCCTCTTTAGGTGTTGTTAATTGTAGTCTGAAATGCAGTCTTAGCAGCATATGGTTTCTTCTCTCCCCAAGATTCAACAGTATACATCAGTTTCTTCTCTCCCTGATATTCAACAGTGTGCATTGGCAGCTTTGCTGGAAGCTAGCCAAAGAGTCATGGACCCTTAAGTCGTGATGCAGGCAAATGGCTTCTTAAAGGCATTCTATATTTCTTGTGTATACTTTTTGCACTGGAGTGCGGGTGTTACATAGGGAAATACATTTCCAGACCTGGTGGCATAGGTCTGTAATCTCAGACACTGGGAAGCTGAAGTAGGAAGATAACATAGTCAAGATCTACCTGGGACAGAGTGGAAGGAGACACTCATGTCATACATAGACGGAACATTAGATCCCTCCTTCAGGCACACTGACAGACACTCAGGCACCCACCTAAGAAATGCCAACCAGCCCCAGTTTCTTCTTTGAATGAATGAAGCAGCCTGGAGTCAGCATTCTAATGTGCTAATGGCCTCCTGTATCTATTCCACCCAAGTAAATAAATAACCATGTTGGCTAAGGAAGAAACCTACTGGCGAATCAGTTTATTTTTATTATTATTTGAACTGGGCTTGGTGTCTTGAACTTTTCCTGATAACACAATAGAACAAAATCTGTCAATTGTTGGAAATTCTTAGGGATAAGACAAAATCTATCCAATCTCCTGTTCCCCTCCCTGCCCCCTTTTTGAGAGAGACCCAAACCTCAGAAACCCATACTCAAATTGCTTCTTGAGAAATTATATGGGTATCAACCAAAATTGACCTCCAAACCACCCATTAGCACGTCTCCTAGCCCTTCTAATGTAGGGCACCTTTCTACTGCTTCTGTGTGTGGGAGAAAAAGTTTCACCCTTGCCACTCCCCCACCTCAAGTTGGTTCCAAACCCTGACTCCATTTTTCCTTGGCTCATGTAGCAGAATGATAATGAGGAGGAGATGGGTTGCTTGGCGCCTCCCCTATCTCGAGGAGCTAAAGTTGATTCTGTTCAAGGTCATGCAATTCTGTTCTCCTGGCCCCATCCACACACATTGTTCTTAGGGTGACACATGGCTTCTGGATTTTCTTCCCTCCAAGAGCCTCCTATAGCTCATGCTGGCACGGTCAGTTGTCAAGTGGCATCACCCTGGATGGCATTTTTGTATGCTCTTTTGAAGACTAGAAGCCACCTTTGAAAACACATCAGAGCAATGATGGTCTCTGGAATGCTATCCACAGTTCAAGGGCCTAGTCCTTCAGTTTCCCCACTTTATGAAAGTCAGTGCCTGAGGATTTCTCTTAATTGGTAGAGTGCTGGATTAGCATGCTGGAACCCTGTGTTTCATCTCCTGCACTACATAAACTGTTGGGAATGGAGGCACATGCCTGCAATCCCAGCACTCAGGAGGCGGAGGCAAGATCATCAAAAGTTCAAGGTCATCTTCTGCTACTGGGGAGTTTGAGAATAACCTGGGCTAGAGATCCTGATGCAAAATATAAATTAGAAAAAAGAAATCATGTACAGGATAAGTTGATTGTCCCCTAGCTAGTAGAATCCTCACCAGGGAGGGATTAGGAAGGCCACACTGCCTTTGGTGGCCTTTGCCGTGTTTCTGAACTGTCTTCCTCTTCTGGGAACAAGGGGGTTGTTTGAGGGCTCAGTTGATGACAGGTGGAAATTGAAACACTGAACCTTTGGGGAATGTCTATGTGGGAGGCTCCATGTGAGGAGTGACAGGAAGTTAGTATCTGTGGATGACCTCATTTGTTTAAAAAAAAAAAAAAAAAAGCTCAGTGACAAAGAACATGACAAAAACTCATTTTTTTTGGGCAAACTACTCCTAGCAGTCTTCAGGCGTCTGAACTGGCAACCTTGTTCTGTGTTATCCCCAGTGAGTGTCTCTAGCAGCTAAAAGACTTCCATTTCCTATGTGCCCACACTAGTCCTAAATAATGATCTCAAATGATCATCCAAGGACCAACCCAAGCTTGGAATCTTATCCAGACCCACCAGGTTCTGATGGAGGAAGCTGTGGTCTCTTTAGTTAGGTGGTGCCATCCTCAGGTCAGGGTTAGAGAACCTGACTCCACAAACCTGTCCCCTCCCCCCACTTCTCCCGTCCCTTCATGTCCTCCACTCTTCATTCTATTATTGGGGTCTTACTATAATGACACAATGGGGTACAAGGCTGTTACAGGTTCAGAGAAGCCCACGGGAAATGAAAAGGCTATTTGGTTACAGAATCCATCAAATCCAGAATGGCTGTCTGGGTCTTTGGTGGTGGGTATCTGGTTCCACAATGGGGGAGATGAAATCTTGTTAATTCAGTGTGCAGAAAATGAAAACAACATCTTGAATTAACAAAGCCTGGCTTATCTGATATTTTTATTAATGAGTAGTAGAGTATCTACTTGCCTCAAGAGATACAGACTTTTAAATAAACAAATATCAGATGAAGCAACACTGGGAGAGGTTGTATAATGGTACCCGCAAGCTCTTGCCCTCCTACTCACTTTTGGCATGGTGCCAAGGCCCAGCCGCCAAGGGAGGGGGCGTCTGTGACTGTGTCTCTGCCATGTACTAACCCTGGTTTTCTCCCTTTCTGCCAGTACACCTCTAAGTTACTGTCTTGCAAGGTGACTTCCGAGGTACTTTTCAACTTGTCTGTCCGGGTCCTGATGCATGCTTGATCCTTGTGCACACTGTCGTGGTTTGCTGTCTCCTGCTGTTTTCAATAAGAGTGGCAAGAAGAATGCCTTCGCTCCACGTGTATTTTGTGCCTGGCCTTTCTGAACTGGGGCGCTGACTCACATGCTGGAGTCCACACAACAGTGAACACTGCTGTGCTGTGCTGTGCTGTGCTGGGAATGGGGGTTGGAGAAGACTGTTGTCACCCCTGGATCTGGAAGATGTTGAACTAGAGGGCAATTATTGGCAGGCTGTGTAGACTCTTTTTTTTCTTCAGGCACAAGTAGCAAATACATTCTGGTCAGGTCAGCAGAATGAACAGTGCCACCCCTATAGGCTGAGCTCGTGGTTCGGACTAGTCCTTTATTAGCCTTAACAGGATTCCCAGAGAGCTCTGTGCTATGGATGTGGGATGATGGTTGCCAAAGGCAAACCGTCCCAGGCTCTCCCCACCTCTCTTCCGTCTTGGAAACTGTATTTTTGTTTTGAAAGCTCAGCTAAGCATTAGCCTTTCCCCAAACCTTCTCCTTTCCCATACAACTTCCTTTTACACAAATTTCACAAATACATGTGCTGTAAGAATGCAGTACTTAGTGGGGCTGGAGAGATGGCTCAGCAGTGTAGAATGCTTGCTGTTCCTGGAGAGGATAACAGGGAGTTTGGCTTCTAGCACCCACATCTGGTGGGTCACAATCTCCTGTAACTCCAGCTCCAGGGGATCTGATGTCCTCTTCTGGCCTCTGTAGGCACTTGATGAATGTGTACATTCATTCATACACATACACATGCTCACACACATTCATACATAAACTTAAAAATTTAAACAATTTTAAAAGGCAGTATTATTCTGTGTGTAAATACACACACACACACACACACACACACACACACACACACACACACCACAAAATAGGGATTGAATCCAAGACACATACACATTTTTAAAAATTAAAAAATTTAAAGTCCAGCATAGTG